TGAAGTGTGTAAACAGGTCCCTGAGGCTGCTTCCACCCAACGGTGGTTGTGGTAACGGTAGTCCATGACTCTGTGGTGCTTTCAACAGTGGTTGAGGAAAAAAGCCCACTCAAGTCCCACTCAGTTGTGGAATCCGGGTTCGAATAATAATCAAGGGGGTCATAAGGTTCCACTGTCCATGTCGATCCTGGATCCCAGTCATCGCAACACACCTCTGAATACTCAGCAGTATTCTCCATGGTTCTGCGACGGCGGCTGGACAACATGCGGCCTGGGGTATCATCTGCCTTTGGCAAGACGCTCTCAAGTCGACGATTGCACCGACATTTCGTTTGGCCTGAGTTTCCACAGCCTTTCAGATGAAGGCAAAAGCCGAGCAATGCGCATGTCACAAGCCATTGCATCATGACACACGCAATACACTGAGACTGTGGTGGTCGTCGGGCACAGATCTTGAACCAAATGGACCACTCCAGCAAAACAAGTACACACAAAAGATCACAAAAACAATCAAACACATATAAACACATACAAGAGCTTCGTCCAATCCTCCTTCACTCTTAGCACCAGCACGTCTTAGCATTCTCTACTTGATGTTTCAAGTTGAGGTAGTTCGAAAAAACAGCCAGCCTCCATCAGCTGGACTTGCATCGTTCCTGTGGCACGAAAATGGTTTGGAGTTGACTCCTGCTAAATTTTGCTACATACTTTCGAAAATTTGACTGGCAAATACAAGTAGGCATCCATCTTTATCTTTGCTCACATCAGCAGGTGAGTGTTGACTGCAGCCTTGGTTTCCATAGACGACAATTTTGGCCCAAAAGAAAAGCTGGGGGGAGTAGATCAAAAGAGGATGGTAAAGAAGATATGATGGTTAAGGATGAATGATGATGAAATGTGAGGGCGCTGTCTGGCGGTGTCTCTAAGGGCATCGACCAAAAGTTGATCATCCGCGTTCCTGAAGTTCAAGTTCTCCAGGAGGATGTAGTAATGACGCACACCGGCACAGACGAGATCCATCCAATGCAAAAAGCGAAATCCAAACAGCTCCCTCTCCCAGACAGGAGGTCCCTGCCCACTTTCATGCTGCTGGATCAAATCGTATTTTTTATCTCCCTTGATCCAACAACCGCCCACTCGTGAAAAAAAACATTTTCCAAGCAGACTGAACACACAGAAGCTTTTACACAGAGAATCTTTACACAGAGGAGCTTTCACACACAAACAAAGCTTACGCCCAGAATCCTCTACCCACACAAGCTTTTACATATAAAGGCAGTTTTTACACAAGAGCAGCTTTTACGCACAGAGCAGCTTTTACACGCAGAAGCTTTTACACACAGAAGTTTTTACACATAGTAGCCTTTACACAGAGGCGCTTTTACACAGAGAAGTTATTACTACTGGGAACGATTTAGACAAACAAGCTTTTACACACAGAAGCTTTGACACAACGACGCTGTTACACACAGAAGCTTTTACACAGAGAAGTCTTTACACAGAGGAGCTTTCACACACAAACAAAGCTTACGCCCAGAATCCTCTACCCACACAAGCTTTTACATATAAAGGCAGTTTTTAAACAAGAGCAGCTTTTACGCACAGAGCAGCTTTTACACGCAGAAGCTTTTACACACAGAAGTTTTTACACATAGTAGCCTTTACACAGAGGCGCTTTTACACAGAGAAGTTATTACTACTGGGAACGATTTAGACAAACAAGCTTTTACACACAGAAGCTTTGACACAACGACGCTGTTACACATAGAAGCTTTTACACAGAGAAGTCTTTACACAGAGGAGCTTTCACACACAAACAAAGCTTACGCCCAGAATCCTCTACCCACACAAGCTTTTACATATAAAGGCAGTTTTTACACAAGAGCAGCTTTTACGCACAGAGCAGCTTTTACACGCAGAAGCTTTTACACACAGAAGTTTTTACACATAGTAGCCTTTACACAGAGGCGCTTTTACACAGAGAAGTTATTACTACTGGGAACGATTTAGACAAACAAACTTTTACACACAGAAGCTTTGACACAACGACGCTGTTACACACAGAAGCTTTTACACAGAGAAGTCTTTACACAGAGGAGCTTTCACACACAAACAAAGCTTACGCCCAGAATCCTCTACCCACACAAGCTTTTACATATAAAGGCAGTTTTTACACAAGAGCAGCTTTTACGCACAGAGCAGCTTTTACACGCAGAAGCTTTTACACACAGAAGTTTTTACACATAGTAGCCTTTACACAGAGGCGCTTTTACACAGAGAAGTTATTACTACTGGGAACGATTTAGACAAACAAGCTTTTACACACAGAAGCTTTGACACAACGACGCTGTTACACACAGAAGCTTTTACACAGAGAAGTCTTTACACAAAGGAGCCTTTACTCACAGAAGCTTTTACACAGAGAAGCCGTTGCACACACAGGAGCTTTTACACGAGGGAGCTTTTACACAGAGAAGCCTTTACACGAAGCAGTCTCTACACAGACTTGGACACAGAGTTGTTACACTAAGGAGCCTTTACACAGAACAGCTTTTACAGACAGAGGCTTTTACACACAGAAGCTTTTACACAGAGAAGTCTTTACACAGAGAAGTCTTTACACAGCGCAGCTTTTACACATAGACATAGAAGCTTTTACATAGAGAAGTCTTGACACAGGAGCGTTTACACACAGAAACTATTACACAAAGAAGTCTTTACACAGGGGTTTTTACACACAGGAGCTTTTGCACAAGGGGCCTTTTACACAGAGAAGCTTTTACACAGAGAAGTTTTTACACACAGGCGCATTTTCACACAGAAGCTTTTACACACAGAAGCATTCACACAGAGAAGCTTCTACACACAGGCGCATTTTCACACAGAAGCTTTTGCACAGAGAAGTTATTACTACTGGGAACGATTTAGACAAACAAGCTTTTACACACAGAAGCTTTGACACACCGACGCTGTTATACACAGAAGCTTTTACACAGAGAAGTCTTGACACAGAGGGGCCTTTGCACACAGAAGCTTTTACACAGAGAAGCCGTTGCACACAGGAGCTTTTACACAAGGGAGCTTTTACACAGAGAAGCCTTTACACGAAGCAGTCTCTACACAGAGAAGCTTTTACATAGAAAACTTGGACACAGAGTTGTTACACTAAGGAGCCTTTACACAGAACAGCTTTTACAGACAGAGGCTTTTACACACAGAAGCTTTTACACAGAGAAGTCTTTACACAGAGAAGTCTTTACACAGCGCAGCTTTTACACATAGACATAGAAGCTTTTACATAGAGAAGTCTTGACACAGGAGCGTTTACACACAGAAACTATTACACAAAGAAGTCTTTACACAGGGGTTTTTACACACAGGAGCTTTTGCACAAGGGGCCTTTTACACAGAGAAGCTTTTACACAGAGAAGTTTTTACACACAGGCGCATTTTCACACAGAAGCTTTTACACACAGAAGCATTCACACAGAGAAGCTTCTACACACAGGCGCATTTTCACACAGAAGCTTTTGCACAGAGAAGTTATTACTTGGCATGTTTTAGGCAAACAAGCAACAAGCTTGCACCTTGACACACCGACGCTGTTATACACAAAAGCTTTTACACAGAGAAGTCTTTACACAGAGGGGCCTTTGCACACAGAAGCTTTTACACAGAGAAGCAGTTGCACACACAGGAGCTTTTACACAGAGAAGCCTTTACACGAAGCAGTCTCTACACAGAGAAGCTTTTACACGAAGCAGTCTCTACACAGAGAAGCTTTTACATAAAAAAACAAACTTGGACACAGAGTTGTTACACTGAGGAACCTTTGCACAGAACAGCTTTTACAGACAGAGGCTTTTACACACAGAAGCTTTTACACAGAGAAGTCTTTACACAGAGGAGCTTTTACACATAGACATAGAAGCTTTTACACAGAGAAGTCTTGACACAGGAGCGTTTACACACAGAAACTGTTACACAGAGAAGCCTTTACACAGAGGGGTTTTTACACACAGAAGCTTTTACACAGAGAAGCTTTACACAGAGCAAAATTTACACAGGGTAGTTTTTACACACAGAAGCATTGACACGCAAGTTTTCACACACAGAAGCATTTACATTTTACAGGGAGAACCCTTGCCAGAGAGGACCTTTGCGACGTTGCGAAATGGCAATTTTACCGCAGTTTCTGATGTTAGACCTTCATTCGTGCGAAAAGGTTGCATCTGCGATTTTAAAATCGCAATTTTACGCCAGTCTTGACATTCGACATTCATTTCGTGCGAAAGGGTTGCGTCCGAAGTTTCAAAAACACTACACAAGTTTTTGACGTTCCTCCCTCATTTCGTTCGAAATGGTTGATCTGATCTTGCAAAACTCCAACATTTGCGTTTGACGTTCTAGAATCGCAATTTTACACCAGTTTTTGCCGTTCGACCTTCATTTCGTGCAAAGTTGTGCATCTGAGCTTTCAAAATTGCCAGTTCTTGACATTAAGCCCTCATTTCATGCGAAAGGGAGGCACCACGCCACAGAAAGTTTACATTTCACCGCACGTTTGTGCGTCCGACACACGCGGGCTGCCCAGGACAAACAAAATTCGCATGTCAGCAGATGTTTGTGCATCCGACACGCGCAATCTTCGCAGAGGGTCACGTTTCGATGGATGAGGCCTGGCTGCCCCTGCCGCGAAAAGAAAGAAAGTTCGAAGAACTTGAGAAGTAGGAGTTTTGCAGAAGTTCAGACACAACTAGGTCACCTAAAGTTAACTCCTGTGAAGCGGTTTAACAACTCCTGTGTAACAACTGCTGCATAACAACCGCTATCACAACTCTTGTGTAAGAACGTGTGTGTGTGTGCATGATGTATGTCATGTACGCATGTGATGTGGATGAAGCTGATGTATGTGAGAGTGATGTTGATAAAGTTGATGGACATGATGCTGATGATGAATGTGATGTATGATGTAGAAGAAGTTGATATAGATCATGTAGAGGATTTATGATGTAGATGTAGATGATGTAGGTGACGTAAAAGAAGTAGTAGATGTTGTGTAGATGAAGTAAGAAGTTGAAATTTGGCAGCAGTTCTGTGGAAAAAAACCTTTGCAGGAGCTTCCGGGAAAACATGGATGGACAGGAGAGCTGAGGTCGAACATGATTGAACATCGAAGCTCGAAGAAAACTTTGAATCTTTGGAGTTCCATAATTGCTAGTCTCATAATCTTGCGGTC